CTGCATGCGTGATTTAGCTTAAAGACCCTGTGAAATTAAAATGAAAGGTTCGTGGCTTTCACTCCATGTGTATTTGCATTGATGTCATCAAAATTCTAGTGTACTCATAAACATTGACAGAACATTTACATATAGCAGATATAAAAGTGCGCTACAGAAGATTTTTGGAGTTAAAAATGAACAAAAAGTTACAGAGCAAGTACACCAGTATTCAGAATTCTTCTTGCTTACCAAGATTCACAAGTTCAATTTTTAATTTGAGCTGTATGGTCGAACTGTTTTCAACATTAATAATAAGAAATGTTTCTTGAGCACCAAATCAGCAAATTAGAATGATTTCTGAAAGATCATGTGACTCTGCAGCCTGGTCTCATGTTTATACGTAGGTATAAATACGTAACATTTACAAGCACAAAACGTACACTTTTGTAAGTTTTTATTCATGCTAAAACGTACAATTTAGACGCATTTCAACGTTTAAAACGTACAAATCGCTACGTATTTTTAGCTAAAAAAACGTAAAAATATTTACGTATCTTTTATATCATTTAGATATTCATATCAATGCATTTTTATCATTTTATTAATAAGCGATTTCGATTTTTAGACCCCTTAACCTACCCCCAAACCTAAACCTACCCATTTTATAGCGATATATATAAAGGATATAAAACGCAAATGACCGAAATCCACAGGAAAATAAAACTTTTAGTAACAATATAGCATTAACATATTTATAGTCGCTAATTCCACTCCTACCTATAAGCCTAAACATTTCTGGACAGTATAAGAAACATAACAGACAGATAAATGCAATTACAATCATTTATCTTTTGCAAAAATATCAAAAGCAGCACTAAAAGTAATCCAAATGACGATGCGTTGCTCTATGGTCCTCTCTGGTGGAATACAGCAGGTTTGTGTGATCCAGAGCAGAATTTATGTTGTTAATCGCCGAAAATATTATCCAGATAATTTTCCCGAGCCACTCCGTGAACTCGTGAAGGAACGCGCGCATCATTCAAACACCCCTCACCAGAAACACGGCATGTTATTTATTTTAAGGTTTAAAGTGAAGTCGTGTTTAACATTATGTAGGCATATTCTTGAAAACGAGCTGGCAGCAGAAATCACAACAAAACGAAATGTTATAATTTCATAAGTAAACAATTTAATAAAGCAATTGAAAACAAGTTAATTAATGTGACAACTAAAAACTAATAAAATTAATGCCGCGATTTCAATATTCATAAGGATTCATTTTTAGGTGTCGTCAATACGTCAGTTTCGTACGTTTAGAGGCTGAAAATACGTAAGTATTGTACATTTTAGTGCCTGTAAAAACGTAAGTAAATGTACGTTTTATAGAACCACATTTTACGTAAAATACATACGAATTATCATGAGATCACGTTGGACTCTGAAGACTGGCGTAATGGCTGATGAAAATTCAGCTTTACCATCACAGGAATAAATTACATAAAATATATTTAAACAGACAATGGTTATTTTAAATTGTAATATTTCACAATATTACTGTTTTTGATCAAACAAATGCAGCCTTGGTAAACATAAGAAACTTCTTTTAATAACATTTAAAAAAATCTTACTGACCCTAAAGATTTGAATGGCAGTGTATCTGCTCTAAAGACATTATTTAACAATATTTATATTTTACATTATGTCTTCTCTTTTTGTAGCGGGTGAGAGGTTAGTGGCATTTGCTCTGATAAGATCGCTGCAACTCCGTGGACACCGGTATGGCTCAAACCACCATATTCATCCATGATAAATAGTTACTTGCAGTTTTACACCTCATTCGCTAAATGACCAAATCTTGCATACTGTGCCTTTAAGATTAAAGCCTTACTAAGATATCGGTCCTGTTCAAATGCTCTCTAGAATGAATATATCGCCCCAAAATCTGTGACTAACTAGCAAGTTTTCTGTTTTTTTTTCCTTTTCGTTTCTTTTTTTTTATTATAGGATGCTGCATAACATTTTTTTTTTTACATTGTGAATGTTGTAAATGCGAAAATGGTCTAGAACAGTGTAATATAAATAAAAGTTACTTATTAATCATAGTTGCTTATCAATCAATTTCAGTAAGTCTTTTCTCACTTTATTCATTAGGGGTGGCTGGATGTTTAAAATCTATTTGACCAAAATAAAATAGAGACCTACTGAAGTAACTTTTGTTTCTGACAACATTTGATCAGTTAGTTTGTATATTCTTTTCTCAGCCTGTTAAAAAATGGTATTGTGTCACAATCAGCACTCAGCTGAGTCAAACAGAATAAAACAAGCGAAGTTTCACAAATGTAAAATATTTCATTGTGTTTGGGTCAAATATCAGCACTGATTGTATGCCAAATTTGGGGACCGTAGATGTAATTTGCAATTACACATAAAGAACATCACAAAACATTAGGTAAACAAAGCACAAAAGCGTGTCTTCATCCAGACATCCTAATTCAGACAGCCAGATGCTGAGACTGGCTGCTATCCACCATTAAATCAGGTTTGTGACCAGGAAGGGAAAGCAGCTCTCAATGCGAGTCCTCCGCAATGCTCTGGAGGTTAACAAGCTCTGGCCTGCTATAATAACATAACTCATCCAGCCTACAATCCAAAGGTCTGACTCCAGACCAGATAAGACACTGCAAGATATGTCAGATCCCATTCTCACCTTCTTAAGAGACAGTACTGTCCACTCCCTTCAAAGCCCTGGAGGTCAAGGATGGGAAAGATTCACAAACTCTTGTTATTCATTAAGGTGTGTGGAAGAAAGGTACAGAAACCTTATTCTTTAGCTGAATGTAACTAATATGTAATTGTAATGGTAAACTCAGAAGCTCATCTTAATGGGATAGTACAACCAAAAATCCAAAAGAACAGAAAAGATGATGTATTGAAAAATGTCTTGTGGTTTTTATTCATACAACAACAGTAATTGGAGTCCAATGTCGGTGGACCCCAATTTCCGAAGTATTACAGATTTGAAAAGGATGGAAAAATATCTAAATTATTCCTTTAACTGCTGTAACTCTTAACATTTGCAAACTGGGCCAATATAATCGATACATTATATAAACACAATCTAAAGTGTGGTGCACTGACTGAATGTTTTATTGCAATCAACGGACAATAGCAAAAAGCTTTTCATAATAGCAGTTGCTATGATTTAATAAAATAAGTATAGATATAAAAAACACAACAAAAATTAAACAGAGTACAACAAAAACACAGAAGCATAAAAAAATGATGGCAACTTTAAAAAAAAAAAAAAAAATTCAGTGCGCTATTTTGGTTATTTAAAAAAAAAAGAACAATCACCACTTGAAAAAGCAGCACTTGCTGAACTGAACACACATCAACACAATATTTTTGTAATTTGTTGTTTTTCCTGCAGCTATACTGCCAGTACACAGCCATGACATGCAGCCCTCGTAATGCATTTACAACATTGTGAGAACATTATGATTCAGCTGGGCATGTTGAACGACAAACACACTATTTAGAGTTCTGAATAAGTCTGTACAGATTGAACGACAGCAGAACCGCAATATCACACTCATTGTCACACTACACATCTCCTGCTTGCGGAAGGCCAACCTATTTATCAAATAGAAGTTTGCATTACATTTGCGAGTTGCTGTGTTAGAATGGTTGAACGGGTGCTTTGAATCAGCGAGGCCTTCCACAAGGATGGAGATTCTGAGGATGCCATTGATTTGACGTGATGTCACGACACAACTTTCAGACATTAATAAAATGTCCCTCTTACTCATCATCATGCACTGTACAGTTCAACAGAATTTAGTAGATAAAGACAGCTAGATCACTGTGTCATCTGTATGAAGATTCTCAGACTGGTTCAGAATTACTTCCCATAATCCTCTAGGCCACTGCACAAGTAGCCAGTTTATAGTTGCCTAAATGTTCACTGCTATTTCTGCCACATTCTGTCTATTCAGATTTATGAAGTGCACATGTTCTATCTAGGAGTTTTATGATTCAATAAATAAGACAACCACAAGCTTCAAATGGATCTAAATTTCATTTACAGAAAAGCCGCAATGTTGACTGTCGAGATCACATGAGGGCGGCAGCGACCCAGATGATACTCTGAGCATCTGTGGGAACAGAGTGAAAGTTGCACTGTCAAAAGGTCTTCCATGTCGCATGTAAGTGAGACACGTCCAGTTTGGTGTCAGACCACATTTCTTTGTTACTAGATAACACGTTAGTCCATGTTGAAATAAAAAGGGGGAAAAAATTAACATAAAATTAATTCACACTACAGCTAAGCTCTAAATGCTTTCAGCATAGAGCTGAGTTGAATCTTTCTTAATGACCCAGGACTAGTGTGGATTGCAGAGCAAATGTGAGGATCAAGTACTGTTATAGCATCTTCAATGGTAAAATATGGCAGTGTTTTCGAAGTGTTCATGGAGACCGACAATAATTTAGATGCTATATTCACCCTCAGAGATATAATCACACTAGTAGGTCTTCACAGGTTACAGGTTATGACACGCCGCAATAAGCTTTAACAATCTTTAAATTTTTTCAGCGGAAACACAAATATCGGGCACCATATTTCAAACACAAACTAATAAAGAGAAGAAGAACAACACTTAATGTGACAGAATATAGATAAAACAAAATGTAAAATCACTTCATAACTCATATACGCAGAAGTCTGCCAATATCTGCTTTCCTTCTGAATCCTTACAGGGCACGTATGATGATAAAAAGATCTTGGCACTGAGAATGTCCCTTGAGTCAATAGTGTCCTGTCAGCTGTCTCCCTCAAGACATTTTTTTTTGTACAAGTTCAAAAACTCCAGAGAGAAAAGTCCTTCATGCCCCTTTTTGTTTCCAATTAACCTTGCATTATGAAAATGCGAAGACACTGAGGCGAACGCTCACTAAATGTGGGGCCAGTCGTGTGTATATATATATATATATATATATATATATATACACACACACACACACACACACACACACTCATAATCACAAGGGTGTTTTGAAGATAAATGGATCTTCTTAACATTGGAAAGGTCAAGAAGACCTTGAAATGAAATGGGCCATTTGGGGTCATGCAGAAACATCTGAGCACCAGTGATGAGGAAACGTGTCAGTGTAGGAATCTCACTGTCTTTTCCAACTGGATGACATCAGATGGCTCACGTTAGACAAGTCTAATCCTATTCAGTGTCAGTGAATTTGAATTTGTGGCTTTTGAAGTTGTATTGGTCTTTGGCAGTGAGGATGAGCTGGGGTCCATGTATATCCTTGAGTCTGTGGGCAATGAGGGTTCTCCATAGTCTATATCCGTTAACACAGAGGCAGTTCTCAGGTCAGTTCTGTGGCACGTGCACACAAAAAAATCAATATACATCCATTGTCAGCTTTCCGAGTTTTTCTGAGGAAAGATTGTCCTTTTCTTCCTTCATCCATACACCATTGTCTCTAGAAACGTTCAGGGTCCTACAATGGCCTTCCAGTCTTCTGGAGCAAAAATCAGCACAGACAAAATAACAAATAATATGCAATGGTTTCCACCAGATTTCATGGAAGGGAGTAAAAAAAAAAAGCAAAAAGAAACTGCTGTTTCCTATCCTGGAGAGGGAAGGAGGTTAGTGTCAGTCGGGTAAAATACATCAAGGCTTACGGATACTGCCACCTCAAAAGAAAGGTTCTCACACAAGAGCATGAATGAAAAGTAAAAATCATATTTAAAAAAAAAAAGAACAGGGGAAAAAAAGCAATGCAAATTTCTAGGCATCGGCACCAGCAGCCACCGTAGTCATGGCAACTTCAACTGAGGAAGGTCTTAGTCGGTCATATGGACGGATTGAAAGGCCAGGCTAGAAGCCCAGATTACTTTCTGGTGGCCTCATCACGGACGAGGAGGAGAAGAAAAAGAGAGAGGGAGTCAGAGAGAGAGTGTAGATGAGTGAGACAGGGTCATGTTCGTGTCACTGTTACTCCACAGAGCCGGGGTGAAGGCTGAGGGCTGGGGGGTCCAGACAGGTTGGGGAATAGCTGAGATGAGGCTCTTTGATCCACAAGAGCGGCGCTCCGTTCTTGCCCTCCTGGTTCTTGCTGGAGCTGCGGGTCTTGTAGCGCACCAGCAGGACCGCGATGAGGAGGATGCCGAAGATAGGGAAGGGGTAGAAGAAGACAAAGTAGAAGAGGGAGTCGTTGGAACAAACCACTGACTGTAGGGTAGAGACTAGAGGGGGAGATGTACAACAGAAAGAGTCAGAATAATTTAATATGGAAGTTAAATATGTATAAGAACAAAAATAAAGCACTGTGAACACTATGTCCTACCCAACATAATAAAATGACAACAAAAATGTTAATGAGACTCCAAATAGAACACTAACGAAATAGCTAGTAGATGAAACACTTGGTATTGTGCAACAAAATATTTCAAGCAGTAGTACACTGTTGTTGTCACATGACCTGATAACGTTGCATGTCAGAGATATCAAGGAGCATTGTGGGATTACAGTATTCTGTGCAGTATGCTTTTGTAAACTGCACATTATGACATGTGGAAATTAATTCAAGTATTCAATGCATACTGAAAATCTAGTCTATCTAGTCTATTGCCTACATGCATGCATGTACTGTATGTATGTGTTTACTTACTTTCTGCTATTTATTTACTGCTATTAAAAGAAATGCTCTTTTCTACATTTCATTTTTCTTTCTATCTGTCTGTCTGTCTGTCTGTGTAGAAATTAGAAAATGTAGAAAGTTTGCTTCAGTTTTTTCGTGTCATTTCACATGAAGTGTGGGCAGAGAAATTACTTGTTACATTGTGTCTGGTTAGGAAATAGTGTAAAAGCACAAGAAAATATTAACAACCATATGAGTAGATGTGGCTAGTGCTTATAAAATTTAAAAGCTCACCCTGCTCCATAACATCAACAATGGTGACCCCAGAGTTGTTGGTGGCCAGACGGTACCAGGCATTGCGTGGGTTCAGCAGCCACTCCTCCACATGGCAGAAGTAATTGCCGACATCTCTGGGCCGAGCTTTCTGGATGGTTAGACTGTACAGGTCAGAGGTAGTGCGTTCAAACTGCAGGCGAGAGTTTGGACCGGGCTCCTCCGTAGGGCTGCAGTTCCCATTACCGAATACTGCATCATGACCAATGGAAAAGACACACTCTTGCTCATCCCCCTCCTCCTGCCCCAAACGGTACACATACCAGGATACAGAGAAGCGGGAATCTTTTGAGGACTGAGACAGAATGCTGCAGCCCAGCCGGATTGATCCATCTTCAGGTACTGTGATATTGGATTCTGCCTCCTCCACCTGCAACTTCACCACTGCAATAAAAACCGATAATGAAAATCATCAAGTGCATGACAACAATTCTAATCTTCCTCATTTCAGGTAGCATGTGTTGCAAACTCATTGTTACATTTATTTAGAGCCAAATATTCTGGATTAATTAAATAAATTATTCACCCCCAAAAAATTACAATTCTGTCACTCTGAAAACAGTACGACTATCTTCTGTTGAAGACACAAGGAGACATTTGTAATAGGATCAATAGTGATTGTAAAGACATTTATAAAGCAACAAAAGATTTATATTTCAAATAAATGCTATTCTTTTGAATGTTCTATTCATCAAAGAATCCTGAAAATTTTTTCATGGTTTCCACAAAAACATTTATAATAAGAAGAAATGTTTTCATCAGATAAAAAAGTCAAGGTTTGGAAAGGACATGAGGGTGAGTAAATTATTACAGAACTATACCTAAAAAAAGTTGATATATTATATATTCCAACCCTAAAATTATCTCTATTCTCTATCGAAATTCTGCAGGGCATCACGCATCCAGGGGTGTGGAACTATCTGTTCAATATGTCACTCTCAAATGAAGGTGAGGAACATCACATTTTGTGTGAGAAGTCACAAGCTGCTTCAGCAGGGTCTTGAGCTGAGATCAGCTAAAAATAAGACTGCATTTTCCGGCACACTTTAAGGGGCTCCTCTTATCTTCTGCTCATGTAAAAGCAGTGCAATTTGACTTTTAAGATGGCAGATTACGAGGTGGTGAACCTTTCATCAACTATCTATTTGTAAATTCATGCTATTTCAGGCAATCGTGCAGCGGGGATTTGACACATACACTTGCATCCCCAGGGAAATAAGACTGGAATTTAAGTGCATATTTAGATATATTATAGAGATATGCACTGTGTGTGAGTGTATATACTGTGCATATATATATATATATATATATATATATATATATATATATATATGTATGTGTGTGTGTTTAT